TTTCTCTATGTATTCCTGCCAGTTGTTGCTTTAAATATGTTGAAGCTATTATTAGGTTCATATTAACTTAGAGTCGTTATTTCTTCCTGGTGAGTAGGATCTTATTTAACATGTCCCTCCTCATCTCGAGCAATGCTTTTTGTCTTAGTTTTCTCAACATAGAGGAAATACAACGACACATTAGCTTTCTTCTGGTTAGTGTTCACATGATGTAACTTTTCCTATCTTCTTTTAGCCTTTCTCTTGTAAGCTGCATATAGCTGATTTTTTAAAATTTTTATCCTTTAATTAGAGCATGTAATCTGTGTAACTGCTGATATATTTGGGTATAAATCTAGCATATTATTAAGTGCTTTCTGTTTGCCATACCTGTTTTATTTTCTCTACTTTTTTGCTTTCTTTTTGATTATCATTTACTAGTCCATTTTTCCCTCTACTAGCTTGGAAGTTACACATTTTGTCATACTTTTCATGGTTACCCTAAAGATTACAACACGCACCCTTGGCTTACAAAGTCTAATGTTAACTGGCTGACTGGTACCCTCACCCTCATTCCAGATAATGCCAGAACCTCAGATCACTTGATTTACCCCATCGTCCCAACTTATGTGCCTCTATTGTCTTATATTTTAATTCTCTATGTATTTTTAACCTATCGAGACATTATAATTGTTTTATACAGTCATTATTCATTTAGCTACCATGTTCATTGCTATACATTCCCTCCTGCATCAGTGTTTTTAAAATATTCCTTAGATGATTCTGTTGTGTATCCAGTGGTAAGAACTATTGGTAGGCCAAGAGTTTTCCTAAAAAAACTGCCTTCCCCTGGTCTAGTTCCCCTCCACATCTTTCCCATAAACACTGGAGGAATATCTGACCACTTGATTTCCCCCAAAACCTCAGTGGCTCACACTGACTGCTGGATTGAGTAAAATACTCTTTAGCATGATTTATAAACTTTCTTAATGTGGCCCCTACTTAACTCTAAAACCTAACCCCTTTTCTCATGTTCCATTCCTCCCCTTATACTCTCTAATGGTATTTAGCTATGTTACCCACAGTACACAAAATTTTATCAAAAACATGCTATTTCTTGTAACTGAATTGCCCTTTTCCTTTTATATATCTGACAAATTGCTCCTAGTACTTTAAGACCCAGTCACTTCCACTGGCAAGCTTTCTTGTGCTCTGTGGATAGAGCTGGGTACCCTTTTTAGAGTATCCTATGCAGAAATCTGCAGGAATGTTTTCCGTACTGGTCTAGTTGCTCCATAAGGGCATGGATAGCTTAATTATGTTTGTGTCCCAATTTCCTAGTCCAGTAGGAAAATGAGGAATGAGAAATTCTGGGCCTAAATTTAGTCCATCTGTAAAAATGGGATAATAATAATCCCTGTAAATTTTTTTTTTTTTGGTGTTGTTTTGAATCTCAAATGAGAGTCTTTGTGAAAGAGCTTTAAAAATCAGAGGAATATATACAAAGATGTGACGGTTAAGGTTGTGTGTCAACTTGGCTGGGCCGTGATTCTCAGTGGTTTGGCAGTTATGATATACTTTGGCAGTCTATGATGCTGTGATCACGTCCATGATGAGATTTGCTATAATGTGATCACCTCCATGATGGGATCTGCTGTGAGTAGCCAACTAGTTGAAATGGAAGTTTCCTTGGGTGTGTGGCCTGTATTGAATGTAAGTGGACATTCTGGCAAGGCTCATAGGCTTTTGCTCACTCTGGATCCTTCAGCTGGCTCCTATTCATCCGATCTCTGGTTCTTGGGACTTGAGCTAACAGCTTACCTGCAGTCTTGCCTGCTGGTCTTGGGATTCGTCGCAGCCTGTGAGCAAGAGCCCTGCTCTCTGACCTGCTGATCTTGAGTTCACCAGCCCCTGCGGCTACGTGAATCAGAAGAAGCCTCTATCTTGACCCACAGACTTGGGACATTCCAGCCTCTACAACTGCGTGAGCCATTTCCTTGATATAAATCTCTCTGTGTACATATTTACACACTTTACTGGTTTTGCTTCTCTAGAGAACCCAGCCTAAGATATTTGGTACTGGGAGTGCAGTGCTGCTCTAACAGATACCTAAAACGTGGAAGCAGTTGTCTTGAAGAGACTGTTGGTGAAATTATGGGTGTCAGACAATTCTGAAGTGAGGAGAGCTGTTATAGTGGAGACAGTGCAGACAGCAAGCAGCAGCAGCAGAGAAATGGCACCAGCAGAACCAGGAGACCAATGTGAGACAGTGCTGTAGCCGACCCACAAAGCGAGAGGGGTGCTTTTGGCAGGAGGCTTCCAGGTGGAGTGGGGTGCCTCCAGATACTTATCAGTGGAGCTAGGCTTGCTGATCCACTGATCAAGAGAGCTGAGTGCCTTCTGGCTGAAGTTTACTGGAGGAGTGGGGTGCCTCCAGGCACTCATCGGTGGAGCTAAAGAGCTTTGGAACACTTGGCCCAGCAGGGCAGATGTGGGCGGTGAGGCCCGAGGGGCTGAGAAGCCAAGAAACCAGGAAGCAGAAGCTGAAGAGACAAGGAACACAGAAAGCAGAGCTGCCTCAGTCTCAAAAGGGTAGGGCCACAACTTCTGGGGTCTCAAAGGGTGGAGATGCCACTCAGATGGACTTGCAGAATGGGGCCACCCAAATCCAAGGGAGCAGAGTTGCTGTCCCAGTGGGCCTGGAAGGCAGAGCTGAAGCCCAGGATCGAGAGGCCTCCACTCAGAATCCGGAGAGTGTGGCCACTTATCTAGAGTCTGGAGGGCAGGGCCACTGTGTAAACGGTCTCAGAACAGAGTATTATTTTCAAGCCTTGAGAGCTAATGTAATGTGTTCTGCTGACTTGCTCGATGCCTGTTACCCTTTCCTTCCCTCCAATTTCTCCTATTTGTAATGGAAATGTCTAGCTTCTGCCTGTTGCAGCACTGTACTTTGGAAGCTGATAACTTGTATTCTAGATTTCACAAATGAAGAGGAATTTTTGGATTTTGGACTTGGAGTTGATTTAAGACTTTTGCAATGATATGATGGGGTGAATGCGTTTTACATGTGGCAAGGACATGAATTTTGGGGGCCAAAGGGTGAAATGTGATTGAATTGTGTCCTCCACCCCCAAATGTGTCAACCTGGCTAGTCCATGATTCCCAATATTGTGTGATTGTCCACCATTTTATTATCTGATGTGATTTTTCTGTGTTGTAAATCTTACCTCTATGATGTTAAGGAGGTAGGATTAGCAGCAGTTATGTTAATGAGGCAGGATTCAATCTACAAGCTTAGTCTCTGTCTCAAGTCAATCTCTTTTGAGATATAAAAGAGAGAAGGCAGCAGAGACATGGGGACCTCATACCACCAAGAAAGCAGTGCCAGGAGCAGAGTGCATAATTTGGACCAAGGTTCCTGCAATGGGAAGCTCCTAGACTAGGTGAAGATTGATGACAAGGGCCTTCCCCTAGAACTGACAGAGAGAAAGCCTTCACCCAGAGCTGGTGCCCAAAATTTGGACTTCTAGCCTCCCAGACTGTGAGAGAATAAACTTCTCCTTGTTAAAGCCGTCCACTAGTGGTATTTCTGTTATAGCAGCACTAAATAACTAAGACAGCTGTGCAACCCTTTTAAAATGCAATCTAACATGGAATCCTAAATTCATGGAATTAAAGAGTCACATTGTAGTTGAAGCAGGAGTGAGGCTTTCTCATAGCAAAGTACTGCAAAGTGATTACCCTCTTGCTTAGTCCAGAGTCTTAGGTAGGTTTCCATTAAGTTCTTTTCAACTAGAAACTTTAATAACTTTGCTTTGACATGCCAATAATCAATACGGCATTTCAAGGTAAATTTATTAAAGCTTAGGACAGCTGTTTTATATAGTCTGTATAATATGGCCACCAAATAACAATCACTCGTTGAATGTTACCGAACCGTATGAGGAGCCCTTCTCTCTGCTAAGGCCAGCATTGCGGTGCTGACCCCCTTTATAAAACAGACTACCTGCCTGCAGGTACGTCACCTATCAGAACTCAAGTATCCAGAGAAGAAAGTTTAGAGCTTTTTCTGACACTCAGAATTTACCACAGTTTTAAAAGGATAAGAGGTATTTGTGAATTTCAAATGCAAAAATGGAATTAAAGTGTTTGTAAAGATAAACTGTCCTATAAAATGAAAAGTATTGTTTGCAACTTATACAACCTTCATGAAAAAGTACACTGCTTAGAATCTGACATAAAACTAAGTAAAACATTTTGTTAGTAAAATGCCTCTGCTTTTTAAAACAGCTCAAACCTGCAACTAAATGACCTAATTTTGATCAAATGTTTTAAGACGATAGTTTACAAAAAGAAAAGTTAAAGTAATTTAAACACATTTCAATCAATATGTAGGCATATTTTATTTTTCAAGAGTAAAATGTCAGTTTTATTTAGAAGTATTCAAGTACAAAAAATGAGAAATGATATACCTGTTAAGTATACATATATATATGTATATAGAGAGACTGTTAAGAAAAGGCTAGAAACAAATTGTTCAGAGAATACTACTAAGGCCCTCTGAATTCAAATATCCCTTGAGATGTGAATTACCTGGATTTTTTAACATCTTTAATATTCAGATGTTCATAGTTATTTTCTTAAAAAAATAGTTTTTAATAGGATGATTCAACCTCATTATTTTTTCCCTAGAAGATGAAGACTTTTAAACAATAAGTATGAAATACATCTTAATGAAAATCATGTGATACACCCAGTTTCAAAAGGTATTTAGACTAGGAAAAAGTTTATATACCTGGATGGTTTAACCTTTAAACATATTTTCTTTCAATATGTCAACCACTATAAGTCACACTGAAGCCCAGAAGGTCATCATGTTATATAATTTGATACAAAAGCTTAGTATCATGTTACCAACTAGGTAATCATATCAAAAATTAAGAATTTCTATAAAACTAGTCAAAAGTTAGACAGTTTCAGCCGTATAATAAATTTTAAAACATATTCCCAAAATTTTACGTTTAGTATGTACAAAAAAAAAAAATTTCGTCTTGGGACATAAATGTAATCAGGTAGCCATAATATGAAGTTGTGTATTTTAAATGGCACTGAAACTTATCTCTTTGGTATAATGAACTGCAAAGTTACAATAAGTTGGCAACAAGGAGAAACAATCTAGATTCATCTCAAACTAACAACTTAAACATTTCTAACAACAGTGAATATGTAAGTAATATCATCCACCCTCGCATACGCATTAACCTTATATTCATAAATGGCAGTTACTGTGTACACTCGCCAGATATAGAACTAATAAGTAAAACAGCAAAGAAAAAACAGCAAAGAAAATCAAAGTATATTTCTAACTTTTTAATAACTTTTACTTGTAGTGATCTTCTGTGATATGTAGTTCTAGAATGACTGTCTTATATAAAATTGGAGCTGAAAAGAGAAAAAAATCCTTTTGATTGGTACAATAGAAAAAAATATACAGGAAATGAAAATTACTAGAATCATTAGTTTTACAAAGCTTTTATAGAAAGAGCAACTGCACACCTAATATACTGTAGAATACTTAGCTATGGGACTTTGAGGGAAAAAACAAAAACCACCAAATCATATCTTCTGGAGGATAATTCCTTTCGAGCTCTCAAAAAAGTATAAGTTTGGCTATTATTTAGTTAAAAAAAAAAAAAAAAAGAATAGCACACACCAGTGGTTCTCAAGTGGAGCAGGGTGCTAATTCTTACAAGGTAAATGTATCACCTTTCATATATGGAACAAAATTGGGGAATCCAATTTTAGTAACATTGAATTAGGATACAAGGATAAGAAGGTAAGAGGTCCCTTAGCTTTTTAATTCAAAGCGTGACAAAAAGCAGTAATAAATCATACTAATAGTTTGAAATGCAAGTTTTTAGCTAAACAATACATGAGTGAAACATACCTATTATACTATCATATTCATTCTTTCAGCAAACAATTGCATACCTCCTATGTGCCAGGCACTGTTCCAGGCTCGAGGGATGAATACATCAATAAACAAAACAAAGATCCATGCCCTTGTAGAGCTGTCATTAGAAGACCATAAATGAGAACTTCTTTACTCTTTCCGAAAAAAACTATAAAATCCACAGGCTGAGTAAATCCACCCAGACCTTGTGGATTTACTTTTCTTCTCCACATTTCAAAACTGGAAAGCCACCATAGGCCAAGATCATGTTTTCCTAACTATTTTGAAATTGAGTTAAAATATTCCAGAAACACTAGGTTTGAAATGGATGTGGTGATAAAATTAAAACAGAAGTGTTGCTCTGTGAGGAACGTGAGGAGAACTTGAGGCCACTAAAGCAGAGGTAGCTGGAGTGGACGGAGGCAAAGACCCTGTTTAGCATGGCATGCTAAACAGAGTGAGCCATAATGAAGTTCAACAATAGTCAAACAGGGAAACTGACAAGGACATTCATTTTAAGTGGGAGAAATGAAATGAGAGACACAAAGTACAGAAGGAAATTATCAGAAAGAGAAAACAAAAAAACACTTATTTTCTAAAACTTTGATAACTGATTTTAACACATACCCCAAACCTATCAGCCTTGAGATTATCATCCAAATGCTACTCATGGCCGCCCCATTGTACTGGAGCCCTCTCTCCCTTCCTCTGCATCTTTACGTCCACCAATGGTTTCACAAGCTCTGACATCAAAGCACAGGAGTTCGAATCGATAGCCTTGTACCCTTATTAAAATAAAAATTCTCACAGAATCAATATCAGTAGAATTTGTTAAAAGAAAAAAAAATTGAGCCTAAGAATTAGTTGTTTTTTATATAACTACAATTCCCCAACAAAGCGCATAGCTTCCATTTAAACATGAAATTCAGCAGAACCATTGGTAGCTCAGTAGTCACTAGCTGTGTAGGAGAGCCACAGGTTAGGCTACAAAATAAGAGCTGCCAATTTGTTGTTCGTTTGTTTTCCCCCAGCTAACTGACGCTTTTTACACTATGATGTATTTTTATTTTGTTCATTCATTCACTTTGGAAAATATTTACTGGGCACCTACGGTGTGCCAGGCACTGTTCTAAATGCTGGGGAAACAGCCGTGAACAAGACAGACAAGGTCTCTGCTGTTGAGGAGCTGACATTTTAGCTGCAGGAGGCAGACAAGGAATAAGTAAACAGCCAGTGAGAGAGGTGCTCTGAAGAAAATCAAACAGGGCAACGAGACAGAAAGTCACAGGTGGGTGCGGGGGTCAAGGATTACTTACTTCTTTCGATCCTTGTCCTTCTTGCTACCAGACGGAAGAAAGGACTGGTTCTGGAATATTTCACAGGAAGCTTTCTTTTTAGAAAATGCAGCTATTTCTTCTTCCAAAAGTCTTCTCTTCTCCTCAAGCTTCTGTCTCTCTTCTTGGTGAACTCTTTTAAGGTGTTCAAATTTGGCCTGGAGCTGTGAAACAAGGATGCAGTTCTCACTAATGACACCGTGTGGCAGCACATTCACAGGAATGTGCCCTGGCTCAGGAAAACAAAGGAGAACCTTTATCCTCACAAGGTCTCCATCCTGCTAACGTCTCAAAAGTTCATCCTCAAGGTAAAAGTTTACACATGGAATTGCCTTGGTGACTAATTTGAAAAGACTCGCCATGCCAAGGATGCTTGAACCAAAGGTAATAAAATTACAGCCATGAGCAAAACTCAATTTTTAAAACATCTGACCTTTTCCTACTGAGGTTTTTTTTTTTTCTAGCTCTACATTTTCCCCACATAACTTTTTCATATAAAGTTTCTCAAATCCAAGCACGATAAAAACACATTAACTAAAAGACACTATGAGTCGTCAAACAGCTGTTGGGAGTTATTCTGGTAAAGTCACTAGAACCAAAAAAAAAAAAAAAAAAAAGGCCGTTGTTGTCGAGTCAATTCTGACTCATAGTGACCATACAGGGCAGAGCAGAACTGCCCTCACAGGGCTGCCGAGGAGCTGCTGGTGGATTTGAACTGCTGACCTTTTGGTTAGCAGCTGTAGCTCTTAATCACTGTGCCACCAGGGCTCCAAAGTCCTCTAGGAAGCAACTGTCAATTTATGTCAAGAACCTTAAAAATCTATATTTTTCTACAGTCATTCTACTTCTTGAAATGTAAACTGAATAAGGAAATCGTAAATTCAGAGAAAGCTTTATACATAAAAACTCACTGTAGTAGAATTTACACCATAATGAAAAAAAACTAAGTGTCCAAGAGATAAAAAAAAAAAAAAAAATTATGCAAAATACTCAGTGAAGCCATTAAAATGAGTTCTACAAAAGGTGATAACATTACAATATGAGATTTCCCTTGTTAAGTGAAAACAGCAGAAATGCAGAAGAAAAAATATTTAAAGGACATCATTCAGTACATTTTCATTTACTTGGGGCTCAAAATCATCTTGACAAACCAAAAGAAGGGAACAACGTCACCTTAATTGCCATCACAGAGACAGGCCTCTGTTTGACTTTATTTTTTTCCCACATTTTAAAGAACATCTTCTATGGATCATGAGAGCAGACTTATCAAAGATATGAACGGCATAAAGCTCAGAAATTACTAACAGATAAAACCTCAAAAGCCACTGCCGTCAATTCCGACTCCTAGAGACCCCATAGGGTTTCCAACGCTGTGAATCTCTACAGGAGCCGACTGCCACATCTTTCTCCCACAGAACTGTTGGTGGTTTCGAACTGCTGACCTTCCGGTTAGCAGCTGATCGCTTTAACCACTGCGCCACCAGGGGTCTTTAATAGATAAAAAGGAAGCTTAAAAAATAGATTTAAAAAAAAAAAGATAACCTACGTTACATCTTTACCATGATGTCTGGTATACAGTGGCACCCAATAAATACTAGTCATTGTTATTTTTTAAAAAAAGCCCACCTTTCTCCAACCCCTGCCCTGGGCTAAGGACTCCCTCCCCTGTGCTCCATTAGGACCATGAAAGAAGCCCTAAGAACACCAGGTCGTGGGGTGACTGTTCACATGACCACTGCTCCCCCAGCACAGGAGCTACGCCTTTTTCTTCTTTATATCCCCAACACCAACCACAGTCCCCATATGTTGCTCAGGAAAAGATCCTAAAAGATGCTGAAGGACTGGTAACAAGATGAAATCTATGTGAAGCCCTGCATTTAAATTCAAAGAATCGACCGTACAAGAAAGAATGTTAAACTATGGCCTACCTAAGAAAAACTAGGGGCTTCAGCTGACTCGGTGTGGATCAGCTGAGTGATACGCCTGCCAAGAGCATGAGCACAGTGTCTAGGAACTAGATCAAGAAAGTTATTTATTTATTTATTTTCCTTTTGGTCTTCTGGCATGGTCAGATGAATTTGAGATTAGTGATTTCAGTTCTGGGCAGCAAGCTAGCATTCATGCAAAACGTGGGGCCTGGTGTCTAGAAAAGACGGCATCTAATAGTTGAAATATTCCACCATAATAAGAGGCTGAGGGTAGAAATCAGAGAGAGCTAAACCTCAGCGTAATAAAAATCAAATGTTCAAAACATACAATAGGTGTCCCATGAGTCAGTGCACCCCTGAGAGAAGAAGTATTCAAATGGAAACCAGACAGGGTTGAAATAGTTGATAAAGGAAGGCCCTTCCAATCTAAGATCCCAGAGGATGAGGATGTCTTTCCAGAGAAACATCACTGCCTTAGTATTTGTTTATTCAAATGGTTCCTGCTTTTAACAAAGACAGATAATGAAAATGTCTGTGTGTGTTTAAAGGGTAAGCCTCACCTCGCTGTCACGCAGACCAGCGATATAAATACAAAGAGGTGAACACGTGTGCACTTTTGAGCATGCGTGCACCCCTATAAATTTGGGAGAGGGGCAGACAAAAGGGTAAAGCTTGGAAAAGGAGGACATGGGGGCAGATTTATATTATGTGAACAGATATACCTCCAGCTACTTAAATGGAAGTTCATACTTAAGTATCTTGAAAAGATATAGAGTATTTCATGTATCATTCATGAAGTTGACTACAAATTCCAGGAAAACTGTAAAGAGAAAAACTAAAAAAAAAGGAGGTTGGATGTGACTATTATTCCCATTACATGGATTTCACAGCTTTGACAGTAACAACCTAGTCCATGTATGTGAAGCATATTACCACCCACTCATGGTTCCGTTAAGCAGCCCTAGTGGCGCAGTGGTTAAGCATTCAGCTGCTAACCCAAAGGTCAGTGGTTTGAACCCATCAGCCGCTCCCTGGGAGAAAAGATCTGGTGATCTGCTCCCATACAGATTACAGTCTAGGAAACCCTATGGAACAGTTCTACTCTGTCCTATCGGGTCACAATGAGTCAGAATCAACTCGACGGCACATAACAACAACATGGTTCTGTTATCCACTATGACAGGCATAAATTCAAACATATTTCCAAATACTCAAAAAATTAAAAAGCAAGGGATCTTTTGTGCTGTTGATAACTAATCAATGCTCTTAAGCTTGTATCATGGATAGGGTACCCCACTGGGTCTTTAGTATATCATTTAATGATCCTTCTAAAAATACTCATTCTTAGAAATCAGAAATGAATGTCGGAGAAAACATTTCCTCTTGTTGAACTCGCAGGCATCTTTAATCCGACTGTCTAAAAGTCGGAGCAAAGTCTGTGTGTACACTGAAGAAGTTACTGATCAGGCCCCTCAGCTGTACTTAACGTGTGCAGCCTCCTCCTCCTTGCCTGTATTATGAGGCTCCTGTTCTCTTCTTATTTTCATGGTTATAATATATCTGAGGATTTTTTTTTTTAATTTTAAGTTGTCTACAATATTTTTTGGACACATGAGGGGCATAAATATTAAGTTAACATACAATACTAAGAAATAGACTTACATATAAAATGGGGAACTTTTAATATTTCAAAGATGGTTATGTACTTTATTTGAGGGATAAATACACACTGTACGTTTTCCTGTAGTAGGGAGAGGGAGTGTGGGAAATCTGTGTGTCACTGATAACATACCTCCCTAGTTCATTCAGAATGATGTTAATAAAGATGTCGAGAAGGTAAGCAATATTTTCCGTTAAGATACCATTTGTCCTGTGCTTCTCGCTACTGTAGTCACCTCATGTTCACATAGTATTACCTAAGTGCGTGTCACTTTAAGCAAAAACTATCTATGAAAATTTAGATTTACACAAAAGATAAATAAGGGGTATTTGTTTCATAAAGAACAAGGTCCTCTAATACACACTTTAACAATGTTTTGGATTACCAAAAATTATTTCATTAGCTGCTGCCAGTTTTTTACTGATATAAATAGCTGTAAAATGCTAACAGTCAAGTATCGGGTAACAAAATGTCCAAGTATGCCCACAAGAGACCTGGTTTACACCTACCTGTTACCCTAGTATAATTATTAATAAGCCCCCGTCTTAGTTATCTAGTGCTGCTATAACAGAAATACCACAAGTGGATGGCTTTTAACAAACAATTTATTTTCTCACAGTTTAGGAGGCTACAAGTCCAAACTCAGGGTACCAGCTCTAGGGGAAGGCTTTCTCTCTCTGTCAGCTCTGGGGGAAGGTCTTTGTCTGTTCTGAGCTTCCACTCCTGGGCAATCTTCTTCATGTGTCTTGGCTTCTCTCTTCCCCCATCTCTGCTCTGCTCGCTTGTTTAATCTCTTATATCTCAAAGAGACTGTCTCAAGATACACCCTACACGTAAATTATACAGTCCCCTTAGTTCTTACTTCAGTGATTCTTGGTCTCACAGGAGGGATGATTATTGACTGGATGCCCTTCTACACAGACTGGCTCTGGTTGCACGTATTACTAATACTGGCTATAAACTATGGAAACTGGTCATGAAGTGCCTTGTAGTATTAATAAAATGGAACACTGAAGTCTATGTCTCTAGAGCGATACAGTTAAAAGCTTAGAAAGCTTGTGACAACTTTTGACTTTGGTACCTTAGGTTTAAATAATCTTCATCTTTTGTTAAATATATACTCAACACAAAACGGCACTTGAACCAAAAATCCAAAACAACAAATAAACAAAAATCCACAAACCACCTGCTGACAAATAGTTTTTCTCTTTTCTTTCAACAATTTGGTCTCACTGAATTTTCAATTCTCCTTTTAAATAGTACATACACATTTAAATAAAATATTTTTCTATGGGATTTTAAAAATTAAAAATGGACAATAAACCACTTTTACATCGGTTTCTTCTCACTGGTGAAACAAGAATCAGGATAATACCGTATTTTTACGCAAGTAATGTGCACCTTTTACGTTGGTTTGCCGACCTCGCCCTCTCCATGCGAAGTACTTTTGTAAGCACACTATGCTTTTTTTACAGTAACATGTAAAAAAAATGGCATAACGGTGCTTATGAAAATACCTCATGGGAGGAGGGTATAGGTAGCATACAAACATAGAAGGCACATGTTATCTGTGTAGAATACAATAAACTCTTACACGTTTTACCCTGATACCACATTAAGATCAATCTACTAATATAAGAAGAAAAAAAAAATCATCATCCTTATTTCCATTACAACTTCCTTCCCAAGATACACATTTAAAAATAACTTCACATTAGGGACATTCTCGAATAAGAAAGACTAAAGAAACATAGCATCCAAATGCAACATATGATCTGGGATTGAACCCTGGCTCAAAAACTGTAACAGAAAGGGCAGGCCCATGCTCACTCGTGACATCAGACTGAAGATGCTATAAAACAAATGAGAGTTTTTAAATAGATGCCATGTTCATCTTTAAGATACTTAAAACATGGCATAGTAACCCAGTCCATCACAAGTCCTTGGTAAACCACTTCTAGTGGAAACATAATTGCTTAAGAGGCCCAAATTTTAATTTTGATTTCAGACTATGATTTTTTTTAAGTCTATATTCAAAGACTGTGTGTTAAAATAGCTAATTTTGAAAGAACAGTTAGCATCTCAACTAAATTCTTGAGGTAAAGCGTCCGAATTAATAGGACAACTAAAAAACACATGCAAATCACATCAAACCAACAGTACTTGCCTCTCTTTCAGCTTCTTTCAATATGGCTTCTTTCTCCTTCACTCGCTGTACAAACATCTGCTTCATTTCTTCTTCCTTCCTCTGACGTTCACCATAGAATTCATGTCTTTTGGCTTCGTAGGTCTCTTGAAGACTAAAAAGTTATTTGTGGTACTCTCATGTTAAAAAGATGATGTAACAAACTTGCAAAAACTCATACCTTTCATGTTAGGCCTCGTATATACAGTGAAACCTGTGAGAGCCGAACCTCGACAGGACAGCCTTGCTTCTCCGGGTCTTGCGAGTTTCCAGCCTTTGACAAGGCGCACTCTTACCACTTTTCTATTGCTCTTTACTAGTGCAAAATATTTGGGTTTTTCTTTTCTAACAGGTTTCTGTCTTACGGAGGTTCTGGCTTTCGCAGGTTTTACTGTATAACAACATGTACTGATATTCCAAGACATGGAATATTCTATAGATATAAAAAGCCACTAATGGTACATCTAATATAAAGAGCACAGTTCTACTCTGACACATATGGGGTCACTATGAGTTGGAATCGATTCAACAGCAACTGGTAAACTGATAGAATTTTAAAGTCTCTATTTTATCAATTCTTTCACAGAAAAGTACCCTCATTTCACCCCAAACATATTCTTCCTTTGGTCTTTGCTACTGTCATTACTATGTCTGGAAACCTTGAAGTCATCTTTGACTCTTAAACTCTTACCCTTATCCCCATATCTGATCACCAAGGTCTGTTAGCTCTGCCTGTAACACTGATGTCACTTAAATCCAGTCTTCTTCAGCTGCTAACCAAAAGGTCGGCAGTTTGAATCCCCCAGCCGCTCCTACGGGGCAGTTTTACTCTGTCCTATAGTGTCGCTATGAGTCAGAATCAACTCGACAGTAGCGGGCTTGGTTTTACAGGTACTTTCTTTCTTTACAATATATTTTGCTAAGCTTAAGTCATTCTAAAACTTTCATCAGGATGAAAATCAACAGAAAATGTCTTAAACTCGCTTAATAGGGTTCAAATCCACCCAGCGGTGTCTTAGAAGAAAGGTCTGGCTATTTGTTTCCAAAAAGTCACAGCTATGAAACCCCTATGAAGCACAGCTATACTCTCAAGTACATGAGGTCGCCATGAGTTGGAATCGACTCAAAAGCAACTGGTAATATGATTCGTGTTCCAACTTTCTTTTGTGATAACAGTTAAATGTACTTTCATCTACTTCATATAACCACAAAAATAAAATCAAATAATGAGGTTTTTACTCCTTCAGATATTCACTTCAGCATTTACTGACATAAAGTGAGCTTTTCCATGTGTTGTTCTTTCTATCTAACTCCATCTACGTGAGAAGAGTATTTAAAGAGCCTCCAAAAGTCAAGAAGGCTTCAAATAAGTCAAGAAGCACAATAACTAATCATTATCAAGTGACTTTATTTCATGATTTTGAGAAATTTCTAATAAACTCATTCTCCATTATCCTGGATATGTAAAAGGGTACAATTCTTTCTAACTTCCACTTTGCTGGCTTCCTCTCCACGACAGCTTGTCCAGGGGGAATCCCCACTTACCTGACTGGCTTGTTCTCTGGGCCCACATCTTTAAAGCCCAGCTCCTCCAGTTTGCAACGTCTGTAAAGTTCATAGTGTCGAGTGTGCGTTTGTTCTCGCAGATCTTCCATATTTGTACAAATCAGCATTTCCCGGAGCTTTACAAAGTCACAATGGTTTTCATTTTCCACTACCCAGAAAAAAAAGAGCAACATTAGTTTTTAATTTCTGACACAGAACTGGTATTTGCTGAATGCATGAATAAATGAAAACACATTTAAAATAACAAACAGCCAAATGATCAGTCTGATTGACAGTTAAGATTATTTTATACAGGTAACCAAGGAAGAAACTCTTGCGTTATACATACCACATCATAAACAAAGTTAACTAACAGACCAGGAAGTTTGTCTTAAATTTAGTAGCCAATGGATAAAGAGGAAATAGCAAAGAAATACTTTATATTACCACATGCTCTAGTTATTTCACTAACATTTTGTTAGCAGTTTACAAACCATCCTCTGGATATTTCACATAGTGCTTAAAAAGAGTATGTAATAGCATTTCACTAAAACTTCAATGCTGTAAATTTTGCAAACTCAAAAGTACTGCCTGTGCATGCCACAATTATCAAATTCTTTTGATACAAGACTACATTAATGATCCTGTGTTAGGCGCTGTTCAGAATTAATGAGTAAACTTACACGGCCCTTCTTCTATTTTATGGTGACCAAAGGGAAAAAAAAACAAATCTGTTACCGTCGAGTCGACTGCCACTCATAGTGACCCTACAGGACAGAGCAGAACTGCCCCATAAGGTTTCCAAGGAGCCGCTGGGGGATTCAAACTCCTGACCTTATGGTCATCAGCTGTAGCTCACTGTAGTTCTTAACCACTGTGCCACCAGGGGCCCTGTGATGGTTAAGATTGTGTGTCAACTTGGCTGGGCCATGATTCTCCGTGTTTTAATGTAATCACTCCCATGATTGAATATACTGGGAGTAGCCAATCAGATGAAAGGGAGTCTCCTTGGGGGTGTGGCCCGCATCTGTATATAAGCAGACGTTCTGGCTTTTTGCTCTCTCTGGATCCTACAGCTGCTTCCTGTCGTCTCATCTCCGTTCTTGGGACTTGAGCTGTCAGCTTATCTGCCAAACCTGGGATTCGTCAATCTGCACAGCCTGTGAGTGGGAGCCCTGCTCTCCGACCTGCTGATCTTGGGCTTGCCAGCTTCTGCAGCTGTGTGACTTGGGAGAGGCCTCTACCCTGATCCACGGACTTGCGACATTCTAGCCTCTACAATCACGTGAGCTGTTTCCTTGATATAATCTCTCTCTCTATATATATATATATTTATACACTTTACTGGTTTTGCTTCTCTGGAGAACCCAGCCTAAGACAGGCTCTTATGGTGACCAGGAGTCTATAAATAGAATATGCGTTTCTGTGGCCAGTAGTTTTAAGTACAATTATTACTTTTTTATTTTTTACACATTAAATATGTGAAGTTTTCTCAATATTTTTCATTATTTACAAAATTTGTTGATTTTTAAAAAGGAGCATTTGGAAACCAGTGCTGGCAGGGGTAATCCATTCCCCATTAGTCAGCGTCACAAGTAAATAAACCAGTACTAAATAAGTACTAACTACTTACTCATTATAATGCTAGATAAATAATCTAAATGTCAAGTGGATTTAGTTTTTTAGTTGACTGATTTATTTTGGGAATAGGTGGCAATACTTTGTTCTGCTGATCAGTGAAAATACATAAATTTACAAGATGGCTTACCATGCCCTAAATTAAGTAGTTTGTGTATCATGTTTAAACGCTACTTTGTTGTTATTGTTACGTGCCATAGAGTCGATTTTGACTCACAGCAACCCTACAGGAAAGAGTAGAAATGTCCCATAGGGTTTCCAAGGCTGTATGTAATCTTTATGGGAGCAGCTCACCAGGCCTTTTCTCCCATGGGGTGGCTAGGTGGGTTTGAACCACCAACCTCTCAGTTAGCATATGAGCACTTAACCACTGTGCCACCAGGGTACCTTTTAAACACTGTTATTTACACCCATATTTTGTTCAAAGTGCCCCACCAGTGCTTGCCACCTGCTGAGTGTCCTGGCACACCCGGAGAGATGGTATGTATATGACACAATGTAGCAAATGAGGCAGCTCTGTCTGGCCTTTACAGAAGGTTCTGGCCGAAACAGTACACAGCAAACTCCTGTGACAACTAGTCACAATCCAAAATAAGCGTCACCTTAAGGAATGCATTAAATGCAATTTTGAGACTATTAGGTGACATGTATTTCTAATAATCATTCCAAACAGTTCACATTTATCTTATTTACCTTGTACAACACCCCAAGGATACTGACGAGCTTTGACCATCTTATTTCCGACCTTTACCTCATCCATACTTCCTACAACAGCAAATGGTAAATGTGCCTGGAAAGGAACCATAACATCAATCACATCTTCTCATACCAATGTGATAATCAACTAAGAAAGTTTTATGAACACAACACAGAATAATACAATAACTAATGAATTTTTTAAAATCAAGTGATTTGCTATGCCTTAGGTTTTAAAACTGGGCAGTGAGTATGGGCTAATTTTTCTACAAGAGTGATGTTCAGACCCTATAAAAAATTAAAAATTATTTATTGAGCATCACCTAATGCAAGGCATCATGCTATTTGGAATACAAAACAAGGAAAGAACTCTAGCACACATATCACTTCCCTTAATATTACCATTGCCCTAAAAGACAAAGACAATGTTGAGGAAATTATATACACATGCACGTAAACACAGGCACGCTCACTCATACAGTAGGTATAGTTAAAATGTATGTCTGTATTTAGTGTGCATACAGCTATCTGATACTAATACAAAGTAATATATAAGCCCCAAAATAATGGTAAAGATAGCAAATGCTATAAAAATTTAGAGGAGTGAGAGATGACTGTGAGCAGGAAGAATGTACTTGAAGAAGAAAGTACAACTCAAGCAATCATCTAAAATACATCTATTGGTACCATCCCATCCAGGGCAAAGGAGAATGAAGAAAACCAAGGACACAAGGAAAATATTAGTCCAAAGGACTAACGGACACGAACCACAGCATCCACCAGCCTGAGCCCAGAAGAACTAGATGGTGTCCCACTACCACAACCGACTGCTCTGACAGGGATCACAGTAGAAGGTCCCGGACACAGCAGGAGAAAATGTAGAACAAAATTCAAATTCACCAAAAAAGACCAGACTTGCCGGTCTGACAGAGACTGGAGGAGCCCCTGAGACTATGGCCCCAGGACACCGTGCTAACACAGAACCGAAGCCACTCTCGAAGTCCACCTTTCAGCCAAAGGTGAGACATGCCTATAAAACAAACAATAACACACGTGAGGAATGTGCTTCTTTGTTCAATCAAGTACTTGAGACCAAATGGGCAAAAACAGCCCAAAAGCAAAGACAAGAAGGTAGGAAGGGACAAGAAAACTGGACAAATGGACACTGGGTACTCAGAGTAGAAAGGGAAAGGGGAAGGATGCTGACACAATGTGGGGATTGCAACCAATGTCACAAAACAGTTTGTGTATAAATTTTTGAATGAGAAACTAATTTGTGCTGTAAACTTTCACTAAAACACAATAAAATTAAAAAAAAAAAGTACAACCCAAGCTGGATCAGAAAGGATTAGATTTAGATGGATCAAGAACAGTAGGAGGGACAAACTTAGGTAAGGAGAAGATTCTGAACAACGATATACAAACAGGGACATGCAAAAGACAGACTCAGGGGCAGTGGGTAGATCACTTGTCTGAAGTTGAGGATTAATACAGGCGAAAAGCCTAATGTACAAAGCTTTAAGTACTATGTTTAATATTTAATAATTAACAGTATTTACTCTCTTAATTGCTTCTTTCTGAGAAATTCTTCCAGGCGAGCACAAGAAATAACATTAGATCTAAAGACAATTTAACACATAGGAATCACGATCACTTTGTTTACATTAGTCAGCTTTTTATATGCTTAGTTTAGGTACCTTAATATAAATGGAGTATGAAAAAATCATAAAAGGAAAAATAAGAAAAAATGGAATTAACATTTTTTGAATGGCACTGTCAGGCACTTAACAAAGGCTGCATCACTTAATCCTCACAACATTTGAGATAGGAATTGTTAACCCCGTTTCATAGATAAATTCATAGTCTCAAAGAGGTTAATAACTCCCATAATAGATGGTCAAGTCTGTCTGACTCTAAAACTCCTGATTCTTCAAAATATAATCAGATATTTAAGAAATTTATTAGCCTGAGGAAAGTAAAACAAAGAACTTAGTCATCTGCAATTATATTAATAAACTAAAAAAACAAACAAACCCAAATTCCTTGCCATCGAGTCGATTCTGACTCATAGAGACCCTATAGGACAGAGCAAAACTGCCCCATAGTGTTTCCAAGGAGCAGCTGGTAGATTTGAACTGCTGACCTTTTGGCTAGCAGCCGAGCTCTTAACCACTGCACCACCAGGACTCCCATAAATTAAAAGTTATGTGAATATTTAATATTTAATAGGCATGTGTAACACTATAAGAGAATGAGCTTAAATTCCAGATTAGAAAAATCCCCTTGACTTAAAGATTTTAAGATTCTAAAGCATTCCAAATGAGGCTGTAAAGACAGGACAGAAAGCCTCTTTCTGAGGCAATTAAGTATGGTCCCACAAAAGGTGTATCCCATTCTCAGAAATGTACCACTTTATTTAGGTCAAAGAAGGGAGGAAGGAAATATGCTTAAGAATATACTTTTTCCAACTCAAGAAAATTAAATATTTTTCTACATTAGACTTTTTGAAAATTCACCTTGTTTGAGGTCTTTCTGGAAGATACAAGTGAAAATACATTAGTAGCAAGGTTACTTACAAATAGTCTTTTTATTTTCACATGTAAAACAGAATTAATTGTCAACAGGAGCTTACATTCATTGAAGAATTGATTTTAGCAATAGTTTCATCATCTGTTGGGAACTGGTATATCTGGACGCCATTGCTAACCAATTCACTCATGAGCTTGATCTTAAACTTCTGTAATTCACTTTTAGAAATTGCATCTGCTTTGGCAATCACTGGTATAATGTTCACCTGTTAAGAATAAAGAAACACAAAATCTCATCACTGAAGATTTCTTTTTAATCCTGGTAACTTTCACATTTAAAGCCACTGGTCTCTAACAATCTCCTCAACCTAGATCAGGAGGTCAGCAAAGGTTTGTTTCACTGTCTATTTTATTAAGTTTTACTGGAATACAGTCATGTCCATTCATTTACGTATTATCTACGGCTGCTTTCATGCTACAAACGGCAGAGTTGAGTGCTATAACAGAGACCACATGCCCTGCAAAGCCTAAAGTATTTACTACCTGGCCCTTTACAGGAAAGCCTGCCAACCCCTGACCTAGATAATCGCTGGCTGTCATTCTTATAACATGTCCTATATACAATCATTCCTATAAATGCTGGCTTTATGGTGATTGCTTTTAAAAAGCAGACTTTGTGTAAGATTAGTCTTCCATCTGATTTATGCTTAGAAATCTCACCTTTTCTTCTCTCTCCCTCAAAGCCTCTTACAATTCCATCGCATATAAAATAACTAAAATTATGCAGTAAACTAAAATAGTCTTCTTAATTCACTAAGAATTTTTACTTCTTAATAATCTAAGTAGAAATCCGTGGGTGGTGCCAACAGTTAACAAACTTGGCTGCCAACTAAAAGGTTGGAGGTTGGAGTCCACCCAGAAGCACGTCAGAAGAAAGGCCTGATGATCTAATCCTGAAAAATCAGCCATTGAAAACTCTACAGACACAGTTCTACTCTGACACACATGAGGTCGCCGTGAGTCAAAATCAACACAACAGCAACTGGTTTAATAATCTGAGTACAAAATAATCAGGGTGACTGACCTCTCAGCAAAACTAAGAAATAGATTAAATTTGTCCTTCTGTCTCTCATTTCAGCAGGTCCCTTCCCTCACCCCAGTGAATGCATCTCTGTGTCCCATTGTCAGTCTCTCACCTAGATGTCATAGGAAGGAAAGCATTCATGATGCAAAGGAGTAACTTTCTCAGCATTATTTAAAGTCTTATCACTGGCCAGGGAGGAAGAGGTCTGAGGCCATGAAGACCAACTAACGTGTAAGTCTAGTCCTAAAAAGATTAACGTCTCTACAAGAGACTGATGTCTCCACAACTTTGGGGGTTGGTTGGTTGTTTTCTTTTTCTATCTCCTTGTTTGTTTTTAGAGATATATTTCAGGCTAACCAGTGACATGCGTCAAGGGAGCGAGATCACAACGTAATTTTTAGAATAAAAGTGAAAAGTAAAAATTATAATTCCTATTCCATTTTTTCTCTTCTCCAATGTTCCTCTGATTGACTGTGTACATTTGAATTTATTAGTTTCCCATATGCTTCAAAGAAGGTAAAGATTTTTCCAACTATTCATGAAATTAATGGTGGAAAATTTCCCAACAATTGTGGGTAAACAATTTTCATGTTGAATTAGTCAAAGTACATAAAAAATTTGATGCTAAGTTCACGTTTTCAATATCATACTTAGCTATTCAATAAATTATGCCAAGTTAATAACTTATAATTGCCTCTACAATAAATACAAGTAGAATATTAAACATAAATGTTCCTGTATGTGTCAGGGAGAGGGAAAGTAACACGTTTCCCAGTGAAGGAAATTCATCACTGTTTCCATAAGACAAGGTAACTTTCCGTGTCAATAACTTCTCAAGTGTTCTGCTTTTAGGAACAAAAGATAACGATCCCCAAGGAGGCCAGGGAAACTAGGCGAAGTCAGCACAGTCATCTCCCATTTGATATAATTAAAGAAAACCAAACCAGGTGCCAGGAAGTAGATTCTGACTCATGGAGACCCCACACGTGTGGAGTAGAACTTCACTCTATAGGGTTTTCAAGGCTGTGACCTTTCAGACGCAGATCGCTAGGACTTTCTTCTGAGGTGCTTCTGGGTGAGTTCAAACTGCCAACCTTTCAGTTAGTAGTGTAAATTAGGACCTTCCTGTATCTGCCAGGTGGCTGTGGGGTAACAGGTGTTTCCACAAGAAAACCTGTGTATACCTATATACATCTAATCGAGTAATCAAGAAATATCTTCATTTTACTTAGAAATCTCAATATCATTAAAAAGGTAATGAAGCTTACATATAACATTTCTTTCTAGTTTGTAAAACTGAAAGCTGAAGACAAGAATTCTTTGATGAAGGAGTCCCATCAATTGAATAAAGCAGAAGAGGGTGGTGACAATCTTTAAATAAGTGCACAATACTCACGATCTTTTACTGTTACCATGAAACATTTCAGTTTGAATGAAGTGAGAAAATACTGTAATACTATTCCAAGTCTTGCGGTAGTGTATAATCTCCATCTCAGGCTAGTTGCTAGTAGAGTTGGTAGCGTATGTGGTTTACTGCTGGTCCAAAGATGAGCACTGAACAAGTGCTCAATCTCTCTTCTATTAATTCCCGAAAATCTACTTTTATCAATGTAAATTACTCCTAGCTAGCTCTGCTCAAAGACTGACTACTCCTAGGCTGGCTACAAAGGCCAATAACTAAAATATCAATATGTAAATATTTAGAATAAGACTGTGCCTATTAATTAAAAAACAATTTTAAAATAACAAAATAAGTTACACTTACTAGGTGCTTCCTGTGCCAAGTATTGTACTAAGTGCTTTGTAATTTATCTCAGTTAATCTTCACAAAAGTCTTAAAACTTTACTCATTGTCCCCATTTTACAGATGAAGAAAGTGCAGTTTAGGTAATCTGCCCAGGTCACAACAGCCAGTGAGTGGTAGGGCCAGAATTTGAACCCAGGCAGTCTGACACACAGCCATGCTTTTAACCCTCTTTTCTGCTTATTTTATTCTATTCTAGAGAATTGAGCCGGGAGGCCTCAACTAACTCTGAAACATTCTTACACAAAATAAGAGAGGCAAAATGCTTCTTTCTACTGGGTAGTTTACATTTATCATAAAAAATAAAGAATATCTTTAAATCGCCAATTCAGGAGAAGACTAGAGAATATATATTTACACACTGTACTAACCAAACTTTTGCTCTATGTCGTGTACAGGTAGTTCCTGACTTACGAAGTAGCCGAGTTACAAGGAACTGCACTTTAAGACCGTCTGTTGGTTTGTTTTGGTACATCTTACAGTTACTAATACATACTACATACAGTGTTGCAGCATGTAATGTTCTGATGTTATCATTCTCAGATGCTCACTCACAGATGTTCAAACACAAATATAGATTGGATTTATAAAGATACTGATAACAAAAGGCAATAATAATGAAAACTAAAAAAAAAAAAGATGTATCTGACTTACATCAGAACCAACTTAGAATAGAGTCATCGGGACAGAACCTCGTCGTAAGTCAGCGACTACCTGTAGTTATATTCTGGCTACTGAAAAGAGGGGCTGTGCATGTTTACACTTTTCGCATATCACATGTATAACGTGATAAAGGCTTTAAACACATTATCTCATTTAATCCTCACAAGACAGTGATAATAGCTATCTTTGACTGGACAGGTCTATTTGTCAGGCACTGTACTAAACCCTGGAGCCCTGGTGGCACAGTGGTTAAGTGATATGGCTGCTAACCAAAAAGCTCGGCAGTTTGAATCCACCAGTTGCTCCCTGGAAACCCTATGGGGCGGTTTTACTCTATGCTATAGGGTCACTATGGGTTGGAATCGACTTGACAAAAACAGGTTTTGGTACTAAACCCTTTACATGGATCAACTTAATTAATCCTCACATCTACCCTTTAGGTAGGTCTCTCCCGAGTTTTTATTTTAGAGGTAAGGAGACTGAGGCTCAGAGGGCTAAAGCAACCTGCCCGAGATCACATAGCTAATAAGTGACAGTGCCGATATTTAAAACCAGCCTCTACTGATGGCAAATTCTATCATCTTTATACGTACCATATCGTGTTATTTCTGTCTGGCTAAGACTACTTTCATTTTCATGTTCCTTTAATAAATATGAATTTTCATATAGCTAAACTATGGAAACAACTGGCTAGATGGTTAGAACATCAATCAGATGAACAGACTATCACATAAGCTCCAGCATGATTTTGCTAAAGCCAGGGGACTGTGAAGCTAGTCAAAAGTCAATCTACCTATGTGCCAAGGCTTCCCTAGAACGCCTTCATGCTTTCCATATCTATTTCTACAGATAGTAGCAGCAGCCGGAATGCTCTTGCATTCTGAATCCTACCTTATGTAATTAATTAGTAGCCAGGAGGTTAAAGGAAAATTTAAGAGATTTTTTTTTTTTAGTATGAGTAGTTTTTAACTATCTTTAGAAAAATAAACAAATAAAAACTTCTGAAATCAGTTAATTTGTAGACACTTTTTATAGCTCTTTGAATTTATATATAGTTTCTTGGCTTAAAAATTCAAAAGTAGATTTTCTTGGTATGGTCTAAATTAAAATATTTTATTATAATATGAAACATTAGATACACTTTCTCAATGAAGTTTTTCTTACTTATTAGTGCCATAAAGTGAAATTAGTGCCAATTAAATTCTATTCAAAAAAGTAGATGAATACTCATGTTCTGGCATATAATTTAATCACTAAAAAAGGAACTAAGATTTTATTTTAATGTTCCTTCTTTACATCTGATCTTCCAAACTGAATTTCTCTGGAAAATAAGCTGAGATTGAAACCTCAAATGTTTTAAAATGCACAGAAAAAAACAGTCTCCAGATTATGAAAGAGTTCCGTTCCTAAACTTGTCTAAGTCAAATTTGTACTTAAATTGGAACACTTAGGTACAGTTCGTATCTAACGTCAGTTAGTCAAACGTTTGTCTTGGTGTATAGTATATAGTTTACCTCTCTATGAATAAAAAACATTAAAGAAACACTTCCAGATACACTAAAATATCTTTACCATAATAATACAGTAATAATAATGTTTTCATGCACATCACAAACTAGCACCCGTTTGTTATTACGAACTATTGTATGTACCCCAAATTTTTAATATAATAGGCTTTACAGGGGTTGGTTCGTAATTACAAGGATGTTGGCAATCAGGGGACTGCCTGAATATACACATACCGTAAATGTGTGTTAATAGTTCCAAATAAAACTAAAGCATGATGAGTTGATTTCTTTCCCAAACCCACCTTACTGTCAAGGTGCTTCATGGTTAAGAGATCAAGTGTCTTCAGAGAGTGGCCAGTAGGTGAAATGAAGTAAAGGCACACGTGGATGCGAGAATCATGGTAGCTAAAGAGACACCGTTTAATCTTCAGTTCTTCTTGGAGATAGGCCTCAAACTGAGCATCTATGTAGTCAACTATTGGTTGATAGCTGAAAAAGTAATTCAAATATTTAATACAACATACTCATGCTACCTTAAGATATCTGTGCAACTTTATAAGGTTTGAAGTCTACATTTTCACTAATAAATAGCTAATATCTATGCTCAACATATAACCTTAGTGATAAAACATTTTTTAACGTACAGAAACTGCACATACGAAGATATTACTTCAAAATGATCAGAACTATCTGTGCTTTAAATTGTTTTATAGAAATGGTATTGGATTGACACTGACTCATTCCTACATTCATCTACACACTACATCCTGGGTCTCTTTCTGACAAAGTTTCCCACTTGCCAGACTGCTGAATGAGGTAAGAAGTCTAATTTGTAACCAAATTAGTATACGGCATATTTTTCAACTAATTGAAAAAAGGCATGGGTATCAATAATTTAAAAAGATATTTAAGTCAAATTCCATGACTTCTTGCGTCTTAAATCAGATTCATAAGACATGAAAGGATTTAATACGATAAAGAGGAAAGGCATACATCAACTGAAAGGATCTAACTAGTAATGCTGCCTTGATTTTATTTTTAATTATAAGCAAAGGAAAGGTGCATCACATCCTGTGCTGCGTGTCATTTCTCCTCCCTGGAATACTTTCTTCCCTCTGGCTATCTAACTCAATTCATCCTTCAAGATGCAAATCAAATCACAGTGTATATGCAGAGCACCATGCTAATATTGTTTCTAAACATTTCACTTCATTTTGATATGCTAAATTACTACCTATGCAACTTGCCTTTCTACTCATAACTATTCTTATTACTTAACTCTAGGTTACCAAGTGAAAATAATAGCAAACAGTTCTGATGTCAAATTCCATAAATACCTTCGTAATTATCCTTAAGCTCCAAAATGGAGCAGCACTTTGTGCTTACGAGGCACTCAATAAATGTGTGCAGAATTGAATTCTTATATAAAGTTGTCTGACCCTTCTAGTCCTTGGGTAGCATCACCTCTTTTAAACTCATAGAATACCTTGTCTCGCTACCCAGATGATACGCAATTTGAGGACAGAGACAGTATCTTAAACTTCTTTTTCCCAAAACAGCATAATACCTTGAACATTATAAGAACTCAACTGATTATCAGAGTGGTATTACGAATACCAGTAAACGATTCTTGGGAAACAGGTCTAAACGTGAGACAATATGATTGCCTCCTTAAAATGATAAAACAAAGTTAATGTGTAAGAACATATGTGACATAAAAAGACCAAAGAAGCATCTTATTAATGACTTAAATAGGTTAGCAATATGATTCTCTTTTCCCAGAAAGTAAAGCAACATCCTAATAAGACATTCTAAATGCTACTAGTCACTCAGACTCTACCAAGATATTAAATATAAATAATTTAAAAATAAAAAGCCATAAATGTTCCTCTGTCTGAATGCTTTGTCTCATGCTTTTCAAAAATAAAAGCCATTAACACTTCCTGCCAAATAAATAATATACCATAGGAATTCCTCCATACAAATTTGCCAAGTTTTCCATTTCTAGTAAATAAGAGACTTTCCTTTCCAGTAAAAATAAAGACACTGGCTTAAAATATAAAAATTGCCTCCTTAAAATCATCAAAGACCCCAGAAGGTGTTAAGGAATTAACCAGGCCAAAATTGGAGAAGTGGAAACCCAGAAATGTAAGCAGAGGACTAGGGCAGGGGTCAACAAACTATGGACCACAGGCCAAATCCAAGACACTGTCTGTTTTTATAAATATAAACAATGTTTAACTGCTACACAGCCACTTCATTCATTTATGTATTGTATACAGCTATTTTCGTGCCACAGTGGCAAAGATGAGTACAGGCAGTCCCTGGATTACAAATGAGTTCCGTTCCTAAGTATGTCTTTAAGCTAAATTTGTACGTAAGTTGGAACAGTTAGGTACAGCTGGTATCTAACATCAGTTATTCAAATGTTTGTCTTAGTATACAGTATATAGTGCACCTTTCTATGCATTAAAAAAAATTAAACACTTCCAGATACACTAAAACACCTTTAACCATACAGTAATAATAATAATGTTTTGATGCATATCACAAAGTAGCACTCATTCGTTATTACAAACCATTGTATGTACTTGAATTTTTAATACTATAGGCTTTACGGGGGTTGGTTTGTAAGTACAGGTTGTACATAAATTGGATGATCATAACTCAGGGACTGCCTGTAGCTGGAACAGAGATCATTATGTCCCACAAAGCTTAAGTTATTTACTATCTGCCTCTTAACAGAAATAGTTTGCCAGCCCTTACATTAAACCATTAAGGCGGCTTTCATCCTGACAGCATCTGGCAATGTAGTTCTGAGGCTCTGCTTTTGAAGGACACACAAGGTAAGGATGAAGAAATCTAAGCCAATGCCCACACAACATGGGAAATCTAATGAGACCCTCCTATATTGAGCTGATATCCTGAAAGCCTATACCTCCAGGGTAAGAGTAAACCAGAAGTAAACCTACAACTCCTCCCTAACCCCTAAGGACCTGCAGGGAAGGTTTTCTTGACACTGACTGGAGAGAATAAAAGGGGGTGGGGGATCATTCTTGACAACTTGTGGCCACAGAGCCAGCCCTTGCACGTATCTGTAGCCCAGGTTCATATACTGCCTTTTTGATTCTGGGAACCTCAATTCATGGAACAGGTTTAGGGACCTCCAGGCTATTAATGTCCAGAAGGGCCTAGCATAAGCAAATATGTCCAAAGGAAGACCTTCATATTAGACCTCAAAATATCTTCAAAAATAATTTTTCAAAGACTATGAGAACTATAATAAAAAATAACTAAGCACACAAGAAAAAAATGCACTATGAATGAGAACCAAGAGAAAAAACAAACATCAGTGAGACAGCTGCAAAAATTTTATGTACTTAATTATAAGATGTAATTATAAAACAGTAAGTTTACCATACATAAAAAAATAAAAGGCAAACTTTAATGTATGTTCAGGGAATAGGGAAATAATAAAAAGTGATACTGCAGATTGGAGTATGAAGTACCACAGAATATAAAGATTTGAAAGATATAGTAAGTGAATTGAAAAACTCAATGGATATATTTAACAGTAGATTAGATAATACTGAAAGGAGATTAGTATACGAGAAGATAGACTAAAAATAATTACCCAGAATGCAACAGAGGAAAAAAAACTGAAACATATGGAAGAGATTAAAAGCAACATGGAAAATATAATGAGATGATCTATATTTAATCAGTTTCAGAAGGAAAAGAGACAGAAAAACAGGCAGAGGCAATATTTAAAGGGACAATGTCTGAGATTTTTTAAAAGAACTAATGAAGGATACTGTATTCAGATTCAAGAAGCCAAGCAAATCACAAGCAGGATAAACTAAAAGTAAATAAAAATCCAGGTATATCACCAGAAAACAACAAAAAGAAAGATCTCAACAGAACTGAAGAAGAAAAGAAAAAGACTGACAGCTGACCTCAACAGCAACAATGGAAGCCAGGAGACTGCAGAATGGTATCTCCAATGGGAAGAAAAAAAACCTGCCAACCCAAAATTGTATGCCAAACTAAAATTTCAAGTATGAGAGCAAAATAAAGAAATTTTGGATTAACAGAGAGTGACAACAAATATTACCCACATAATATAATGATTACAGCTTGTATGGGTAACAAAGACAAAATATGCGATAACAGTAAGTTAGGAGGGGTGGTTAATGGAGTTCAACTGTTCTAAGCTCCATTTTATTGACAATTTATAATTGGGGAGAAATACAATTAATCTTAAAATCTGATTAAGTTAAATACATTATGTTACAATTTCTAGGGTAACAACTAAAAGAATAGAAAACAAGCAAGAAAGGAAAAAGAAACATGAAGCTAGCAGGACAAACAGAAAACACAATATAAGACAGTAGATTTAAAATTAAACCCAAATATATCAGTAACTACATGAACTGTGAACAGACTAAATGTTGAGTTAAAAGACAAGCATTATCAGACTGGATTTTAAAAAAGAAAATAATACGTTCTTAATAAGAAATATATCTAAAGCATAAGGTACAGAAAGGCTGAAAGTAAAGGGATAGAAAAAAATATTCATACATACAAAAGCTGATGTACCTATACTAATGTCAGACAACAAAGCCACAAATACAAGAAACTTTATAAGAAAAAAATTATATAGATCACTAAATAATAATAAAATGTTAATTCTTCAGGATGAAATAAAAATGAATTTCAGAAATTAATTGAAATTGAATGAAAATGAAAATACTATATATCAAACCTGTAGGATGTAACTAAAGCTGTGCTTAGAGGAAAATTTATACTCTAAAATGCATAAGGCTAAAAATCAATAAAAAATTAGAGCTAATTAATCCCAAAGAAAATAAAAGAAAGGAAATTATATATACGAAAACAGAAATTAAGGAAATAGAAAAAAACAAAAAACATAAAATCAGGATGATAGGTAAAGCGAAACTTTGGTATCTGAAAAGACCAATAAATTGACAACCCTTTGTCAAGGCTGATCAAAGAGAAAAAAAACAAGCACAAAATAACCAATATGAGAAAAGGCAGATGTTAAAATAAAAAATAATAATTAACAGATGAGGTACACAATAAAGATATTAAAATACTATGAATATGGTTATTACAGATTGAATTTTAGCCCCTAAAAATGTGTATCAACTTGGCTAGGTCATCATTCCCAATATTGTGTGGCTGTCCACCATTTTGTGATCTGATGCGGATTTTCCTCTGTGTTGTAAATCCTACCTCTATCATGTTAATGAGGCAGGATTAGAGGCAGTTATGTTAATGAGGCAGGACTCAATTTACAGGATTAGGTTGTATATTGAGTCAATCTCTTTTGAGATATAAAAGAGAGAAGCAAGCAGAGAGGACAGGGACCTCATGCCACCAAGAATGAAGAACGGGTGTGTGTGTGTGTGCGTGTGCATGTGCGTGTGCGTGCATCCTTTGGACCGGGGTCCCTGTGCTGAGAAGCTCCTAGACCAAGAGAAGATTGGTGATAAGGACCTTCCCCCAGAGCCAACAGAGAGAAAAAGCCTTCCCCTGGAGCTGGCACCCTGAATTTGGACTTCTACCCTACTAGACTGTGAGAGAATAAATTTTTCTTTGTTAAAGCCATCCACTTGTGGTATTTCTATTATAGCAGCACTAGATAACTAAGACAATCCGGTTAAGCCAATAAATTTGAAAATGTGGATGAAATGGACAGATTCCTAGAAAATTATAACTTATCAAAATTGTCTAAAAAAACAAAACAAAAAAAAAACCTTTCTGAACCATCCTAAAACCATTAAAGAAAATTAATTAATAATCCAAAATCTACTCAGAAGGAAAACTCCAGGCCCAAATGGTTTTATTGGTGAGTTCCACCAAACATTCCAGGGAAAAGTATCTGTAATAGGTGTAATCTTATGCAAATTTTTCTAGAGACTAGAAAGACAGTCCTATAGTGTCATCATGAGTCAGAATGGACTCAATGGCAATGGGTGTTTTTTGGTTTTTGTTTTCTAAGAAAGACAGTAAAAGATACCCAAACTCATCCAAAGGGATGGCTAAAGTGGGTTTTCAATTTCTGTGTATTATTTGATATTTTCACAGAGACATATAATAAAACATATGTATTATTTTGGTAACTGATAGAAAACAAACAAATGGGAAAATTTGTTATAATTTATTCAGGGACAAAATTACATAGAAAGTTATACCTACTGTGAGTCCTAATCTGCAATATAAAGAAATTTATTCAGCAGGTCAAGCATATTCACCCTATGTTTAAGTTCATTCAAAATTACTTTCATTTATATATACTGATTAGTTATAAGTTGGTATCTATCTTGTAAGTATTAATCACTTTTAAATCAATGTGTCACAGGCTTTGCCTCTGCCATTCATCATCAACTTCTTTCATATGGTCTACACAAATCATTTCTTCATATTTAAAGTAGAACAAATGGATTGAAAAGGCTATACTCTAACATAAGTCACACAGAGTCATTTTTGCAAAATACTTTCCTTCTAAAGAATACTTTAAGAATCTAGAAAAATTTTACTTATGATAAAAGTATATACATTTTGATAAGGAAAAAACTAAGTTACTGCTTTGCCCCTATCTATTTCCACCTCTCATAGCTGATACCTGAGAATCTATAATCAGTCTTTATAATACCATAGGAGAAATAATAACATAAGATAAAATATAAATAAAAATTTCATTATCAAACCTCTTCTGCAATGCTTAATTGCTTAATAATAACGTAACTGGCTATTTTGGTTAGAACTTCATGCACACACACAAAAAAAGCGCACGCACCATGTATTTGGTCACTGCATATGTTACCCTTGTGTGTTTTTTTTTTCTTTACTCAGCAAGATAAGGTCCTGCCTGAAAATCAGTATAAATCACTTAGTATAGACTGACATGGCATACTGGGAAAGAATTAAAACTATTTTTGCGGAAGTACATGTTTTAATAATGTGATTCAAATTATTCTAAAGAAATTAGACAACTGGATAGAAAAAAATGTCAATTTTCTAATAAGAACTGAACATTACTTAATTATCAAAAAAATAATAATAATAAAGTCTGGGAATAAAAGTATGCATTACCATAGTAGAAAATCAAATCACAGCCCATGGAGCAAGAAAGGAAATTTCTTGATATAACAAAAACTTGTTTTAATAAAAAAAGAAAACACAAACCTCTCTTCTTTGTTTATTTGGTCCCCAAATCCTACTGTATTCACGATGGTCAACTTCAAACGAACGTTACTTTCCTGGAGCTCATATGTCTGAGCCTTAAGTCTAACATGTGGGTAAAAATGTGGGGCTTCATGGTCTTCAAAATTAGTATTAAACAATGTGTCAATCAGCGTTGATTTTCCAATTCCAGTTTCCCCTGAAATAAACAAAGAGATATCTTCACAGGCGCATTTTATGGCTAAGAAGAAATGTAACTCTAAACTTCCATCATCATTTCAAGGATCACAAATATTCCAAAGGCTGGATTATCTGTGAAAGAATAGATGCTAAGGCTGGTCCACTGAATCACGAGCAGAGCATAGAAATGAGTATGTATGCTAAGTTACTCAGAACTCTGGAGAAAGCCCTGAATTGTTTGTAAAAAGAAAAAAAAGTTTAAAGCAGTATAGCCAAGAAAGCCAAAACTGATAGAATTTAATTAACTGAAAAAAACTTGGGGTCATGATCTCAAACTGATAACATCAGCATCATACTGCTTATGGCAAGTGGGAAGTGAGCACAAGAAATAGGAAGGAACAATACAGAGGAAGAGTGTGGCACTTACCAACACAGAGAATATTAAAACAGAAGCCTTGCTGAATGGATCTATTGACCAGCTGATCAGGCAAACTCTCAAAACCAACATGGCCAGACATAGTTAAGGGACGAATATTTTCTTTTTTCTGCTGAAGGAAAACAAAAACAACAGCAACAACAACAAAAAAAAGATTAAAGTAGGCTATAGGCACATTTGAAAGGATGAATATAATTTACCAAAAAAACTAAAGATTTCATAACAATCATTACTGTCACCCAAGACCCAAGTAAAGTGAATAAGTAATAAAAGAATTCTGTGTCCAGACACTCCAAATGTGTATTTCTTATTTCTAACAGTGCAGTACGATTTATAACATCAAAACATTTGATTTCCAAAAGTAAAAAATATCCAAGTAAGCTATGGCATACTCATTCATAAAATGGAGCATGTAAAATCATAACAGATGTTTATTATGATAAATTTTTAATAACTTGGAAAATTTTTACATTAAATGTCAAGTGAAAAAAAATACACTACAAAATTACACATACAGTTCCAACTGCCAGGAACAGTAAAGTTAACTTATGTCAAACTAACCTTCCTAACTAACTAACAATTATAAGCACCCCTTTCAAGTCACCAAAGGCAGGTAGGCTCTGGAGGGAACAAGACTTGTGAAAGAAGGGAGCCACACTGGGTGGGATGCACATTTATCTAGCTTTTTCCCTAAGGGAACTTCTGCGTCAGTGCAGCACAAGAAAAATGATGTTCAAGAAGAAAGTGGTAGTCTTACCGGGTTGAGAAGTCAGTTAGAGACTGGGGCAGACAGATCAGCTAGAAATTTGAGAGAGAAAATTCCAGAAAGGAGGGAATCTACAGTCTGCAAACACACTTCCCTCAAATATTTGACTGACTGCTGAACTGCACACGTAGAGAGGGAATACAGAGAGCCCAGCAGGAGGGAAATGGGAAGTGGAAGGAGCCAACCAGAGCTTTCAACAGTGCATCCTGGGGAGACAGAGTTTGAATTTTAAGTTTTGTAAGTAAAAGGGGATTGGTAAACACCATAGGCTTTCCACTGAAAACCTGTATGAGCCACATTTTAGGAGAAAGGACCACATACCAGGAATTAGGAATGTTCTCTAGCATTGAAGGCACAGCTGAAATAGACCTACACAACAAAGCCTAAAACCAAAGCATAACATGAACAACAGGACAATTTAACTGCCTGCTAGAATAAAATTCAACACTATTCCAAAAAAGAAAACAATCCAGAATCTCTCCAATGTACCATCCACAATACCTACTGTACAATCAAAAATTACTAGATAGGAAGAAGCAAAAACTGTGATTCACCACCAAAAAAAAAGTCAACACAAAGAAATCCACAAATGAACCAGATGTTGAATTAGTTGATAAGGACTTTAAAATAATTATGACAAATATGCTAAAGAATCTATAGGATAAAGATGGATATAATAGATGAGATGACAGGGAATTATAAGAGATACATAAAGCTCTTTTCAACAAGCAACAATGGAATTCTAGAGTGGAATAAAAAAAATTGGATTAAATTAACAGCAGATCAGATAACGGAAGAAAGACGTGTCCGATAGTTATTATCTAAGTGAAAGCGTAGGGAGAAAGAAAGAAAACGACGGCAGAGCTTCAATGACCTGTAGGGCAATATCAAATGGTGTAACATCCCTGCAACTGGAATCCCAGAAGGAAAAAAGAGTAGGACAGAAAATATATCTAAGTAATAATGACTGAAAATGTTCCAATTTTCCAAGTATCATCATCTCTTCTATTCACTTTAGCTACTGTGTAATTAAGAACAAGTTTCAAAGTATGAGAGAGATTCAGATGGAAGAAGTTTTCTTTGCTGGGCTTTGAAGACGGAGGGCGCCACATGGCAAGGACCTGAGAAGGGCCTCTAGGAGTTGACAGCAACCCCCAGTCAACCCCCAGTAAGACACTTAATTCTGCCAACAACCTGAAAGAGTTTGAAACAGCCTCCAGATAAGAACCCAGCCTGGCTGATAACTTGAGTGTGAAGACTGAGCAGAGAAAGCCAATTACACTGTGCCTGGCTTTCCGGCCTACAGAAAGAAAAATGGTGGTTGTTTTAAGCAGCTAAATTTGTGGTAAAGCATTAAGCAGCAATAGAAAACTAGTACACTGTGTTCTCTTTCGTGCCCTTTGAGTCCCTTTTAGTCATGTAAGCATGCTATTTTTACGATTAATGAAAAAGAGATAGTGAAGAAACCAGGGCTTTGAACCAGTTCCTTTCCCCTGCTGAGAATTTGCATTTCTAACAATTTCCCAGGCAACGCTAATGCTGCTGGTTAGGGACCAATTCTGAGAATTACTAGTACAGCAGTGGTTCTCGAAATGTATTATACATAAGAATCACCTGGGGATCAAGTTAAAATGTAGATTCTGATGTAGCATATCTGGGGTAGAAATGCAAGTTCTCAGCAGGGGTTCGAACTGGGATGAACCAGTTCGAAGCCCTGGGAGAAACAGTGTGTTTTCATGTCATGAAAATGTTCAAGAAAGGTTGAGAAAAATATTTAAGAGTTTTTGTAGAAAGCACTGCTTATTAGATAAAAGTTGAACTAAATGGCCTCTAGGATCCCTTCTGGTTCTACAACTGTAAGATGTTAATGTCATGGGAACAAAGAAAGCATTTTTAAAAAGAAGGTGTGGTCACCATGACTTAATGCAGAAGAAAGGCCAGAGAAAATGAGGAATGAGCAACAGCTTAGTCTTTCAGTAAAGATTTCTGTGACTTTGCCAGTAGTTTCAGCAAAGCAATGAGTTAGGAAGCAGATTAAGAGTAATTCAAAAAGTCTGGATGGTGATAAAATAAAGATGCAATAGACTGTTCACTTAAAGGAATTACCAAAGAGAGAAAGAAACAAAAAAGATGATAGTTTGGTGGTAAAATTAAGGCTTACCAAAACTGCAGGGAACCCTGCATGTACGGAGGTAGAGGAAAAAACAAGAAGAGGCTATAACTACTGGAGCACAGAACTAAGGGACATTATTTAATCTTATTGAATTCCCTATGCTTGTATCTGAATTTTCTTTTTAAAAAATCTACAATTCATCTCTTTCAAAGTTAAATTTGCTCCTTCATTTTAAATATAAATTTTAATGTGAATTACCAAAAACCTTCCCTCACATACAGAAACTTTTTAGAAGGGACCTTATGAACATAAAAATCTCCCACTCACTAACACCTAACAGCTGCTTCCTTAAACTCTGTCAGTAAGAGTTTTCTGTAATCCACAAACTTCTACAAATATGTCCATCAACAGCACTGGTCATCTTCCTACCATATGTTGTTGAGGTACTTGGGAGTTTTCATTTATTTTTCTTGAATGTCAAGTAGGACAGACATGTGGACACTCCACAATTAATTAATCCACCACTGATTTGTTATAAATTGAGTCAATATAAAAGTTGATTCATATTCAAGATAAGCACAAACATAAACCTCTATCACAGAAGTTTCTGTCAGTTCTCTGAGTAGTTATTCTGAAATCACAGAAGCATTCAGAGAACAATATGCAGTCTTCTATCTGAATATATACTTACCTTCTGTTCATCATCAGACACTTGAGAGGACATACAAGATTTCGTTGTCATGTGAGTTTGAAAAAGCTGAAAAAGAAAGAAAGAAAAACTTAAAATAAAGCATACCTGGTTTTATTGCACTTCACTTTATTGCACTTTGCAGATACTGCATTTTTTACAAATTGAAGGTTTGTCGCAACCCTGCGTCAAGAAAGTCTATCAGCGCCATTTTTCCAACAGCATGTGCTCACTTCATGTCTCTGTGTCACATTTTGGTAATTCTCGCAATATTTCAAACTTTTTCATTATTATTATATCTGTTATGGTGATCTGTGATCAGTGATCTTTGATGTTAATACTGTAATTGTTTTGGGCTACCACTATCCACGCCCATATAAGACAATTAACTTAATCGATAAATGTGTGTGTTCTGACTGCTCCACCGACGGCCCTTACCCTCTCTCCCTCTCCCTGGCACTCTCTATCCCCTGAGACGCCAATTAATTGAAATTAGGCCAATTAATAACCCTACAATGGCCTCTAAGTGTTCAAGTGAGAGGAAGAATTGCACGTCTCTCACTTTAAATCAAAAGCTAGAAATGATTAAGCTTAGTGAGGAAGGCATGTCGAAAGCTGAGATAGACCGAAAGCTCGGTCTCTTGAGCCAGTTAGCCAAGTTGTGAATGCTGAGAAAAAGCTGTTGAAGAAATTAAAAGTGCTACTCTAGCGAACACAGAAATGATAAGAAAGCGAAACAGTCTTATTGCCAATATGAAGAAAGTTATAGTGGGTCTGGATAGAAGATCAAACCAGCCACAACAGCTCCTTAAGCCAAAACCTAATCCACAGCAAGGCCCTAACTCTCTTCAATTCTATGAAGGCTGAGAGAGGTGAGGAAGCTGCAGAAGAAAGGCTTGAAACTAGCAGAGGCTGGTTCATGAGGTTTAAGGAAACAGGCCATCTCTGTATCATAAAAGTGCAAGGTGAAGCAGCAAGTGCTGATGTAGAAGCTGCAGCAAGTTATCCAGAAGATCTAACTAAGATAATTGATGAAGGCGGCTACACTAAACAACAGATTTTCAATGTAGATGAAACAGCCTCACACTGGAAGAAGATGTCATCTAGGCTTTTCATAGCTAGAGAGGAGAAGTCAATGCCTGGCTTCAAAGGACAGGCTGACTCTTGTTAGGGGCTAATGTAGCTGGTGACTTTAACCCTTTGATGACCCCATTATTTTCACCTTTGAATTTTTTGTTTGTACCATGTGTTTTCACTAATGGAAGGCATGTTGATTAAGGGACCAATTCAGAATTTTTGTTATGAGTTACAGGTTTTGATACCCATTATCTGGGATTACATACATCCCAGTGGATGCCAGGATGTAGTAAATCCTACTGATATAAGTCAATGAATGCAGGGTAAGAATAACTTACAGGAGTTCAAGTCTCTTAAAAAGTACCACTGCAATGTGTTAGTCCTTATTGGAAAGGCATTATTTACTGTTCAGAGGGCAAAAAAGAAGGGAGCCAGTAACACCTGGAAACAACGAATGGCATAAAGGAGAAAATGGCCACTATGACTGAATGAAGACTGGCAATAGCTTATTCTAGCAGTAAATACATTCTCACCAGAACACAGTAACTAGGAAATACAGTGAGGAGGTTTATCTCACAGAAATAAAAGTAAACCTGTCAAAAGTTTATAAAATTCACATATCCAAGAGACATCACCTAAGACAATGCTCAATCTACACAAAAATGAGACTCCCAACAAGGATTTTTGAGTTTCATGCATTTCAAAAGGCTCCAGCCTTGACATTAAATGCATTAAAATTGTGTTACCTCCTTCCCAAAGAACTCTAGAGGCATAAAAAGTGTTGGGAAGTATGTCTCACGAATCCTCAGAGGGTTAAGTTGAAGCCAATGCTCATTTACCATTCTGCAAATCCTAGGGCCCTTAAGAATTATGCTAAATCTACTCTGCCTGTGCTCTATAAATGGAACAACAAAACCTGGATGACAGCATATTTGTTTACAACATGGTCTACTGAATATTTTAACATCACTGTTGAGACCTACTGCTCAGAAAAAAAAGATTCCTCTCAAAATATTACTGCTCATTGACAATGCACCTGGTCACCCAAGAGCTCTGACGGAGATGTACAAGGAGATTAATGTTGTTTTCATGCCTGCTAACACAACACCCATTCTGTAGCCCATAGATCAAGGAGTAATTTTGACTTTCTAGTCTTATTATTTAAGAAATACACTTCGTAAGGCTATAGCTGCCATAGTAATGATTCCTCTGATGGATCTGGGCAAAGTAAATTGAAAACCTTCTGGAAAGGATTCACTACTTTAGATGCCATTAAGAACATTCACGATTCATGGGAGGTCAAAACAGCAACATTAGCAGGAGTTTGGAAGAAGTTGATCCCAACCCTCATGGATGACTTTGAGGGGTTCAAGACTTCAGTGGAGGAAGTAACTGCAGATGTGGTGGAAATAGCAAGAGAAGTAGAAATTAAAAGTGGAGCCTGAAGATGTGACTGAATTGCTGCAATCTCAGAATAAAACTTCAAAGGATGAGGAGTTGCTTCTTATGGATGAGCAAAGAAAGTTGGTTTCTTGAGATAGAATCTACTCCTGGTGAAGATGCTGTGAACACTGTTGAAATGACAACAAAGGATTCAGAATGTTACATAAACTTAGTTGATAAAGCAGCAGCAGGGTTTGAGAAAACTGAATTTCAATTTTGAACGAAACTCTACTGTGGGGAAAATGCTATGAAACAGCGTTGCATGTTACAGAGAAATCTTTCGTGAGAAGAAGGGGCAAGCGATGCAGCAAACTTCATTGGTGTCTTATTCTAAGAAATTGACACAGCCACCGCAACCTTCAGCAACCACCACCCTGATCAGTCAGCAGCCATCAACATTGAGGCAAGACCCTCCACCAGCAAAAAGATTACCATTCGCTGAAGGCAATAAATATTGCAATAAAATATTTTTTTTAATTAAGGTATGTATTTTTTTTTTTTTTTGAGAGAGAATGCTATTGCACACTTAATAGCCTACAGTATAAACCTAATTTTTATATGAACTGGAAAACAAAAAAATTTGTGTGACTTTGTTTATTGCAATATTCTCTTTATTGCGGTGGTCTGGAACCAAACCTGCAATATCTTCAAGGTATGCCTGCACAAGCGTTACCTGAAAAAGCCTAAATCTAAATAATATATTTACATTAATAAAAGATTCTAATACTGTCATTATCATCAAATTTTGACTTATAGTCCACACTACTGACTCATGTCTAAAATTGTGGTTTCCTTGCTGGATAGGTATCTTCATAAATAACTAATATGGACTATTCAACATATACAGTGAAACCCGTGAGAGTCAGAACTTGATGAGACCGCCTTGTTGTTCCAGGTCTTGCAAGTTTTCCGCCTCTGACAGACTGCAGTCACCACTTTCCTATCGCTCTCTATTAGTGGAAAATATTTGAGTTTTCCTTCTCTGACAGGTTTCTGCCTTACAGAGGTTCCAGATTTTGCAGTTTTTACTGTACTACAGTAAAAAACCAAAAACCAAACCCGTTACCGTCGAATAGATTCTGACTCATAGTGACCCTATAGGACAGAGCAGAACTGCCCGATAGGGTTTCCAAGGAGCTGCTGGTGGATTCAAACTGCCAACCTTTTGGTTAGCAGTTGAGCTATACTGTAGAGTATACATATATATATGGATGCACCAGGTTGGTAACCAAAAGGTCAGCGGTTTGTAACCCACCAGCAGCTCCATGGGAGAAAAGTGCTAGCAATCTGCTACCATGAAGATTATAGCCTTGGAAAGCCTATGGGGCAGTTCTACTCTGTCCTACAGGGTTGCTATGAGTCGGAATCAACTCAACAGCACAAAACAACAACAGTAATAGTTAAGCACTTCCCTAGTTTTTTAATTACAATCAATGAACTATGTGGCGATGAATAGTTTTGTCCATACATATGATGACAGGAGAATCTTACTGCTGCAGTGCAGGGTGTGATGTTCCTGGCATTCCCCCTCCCCACGCGCTGGAACTATGAAACAATCCCACACAGATAACCTGTTATATGTCATGACTGGATTTTACAGAATGCAACAACATTCTTCCTCAGGTACATTATGGGTAAAATAAGCTTTTGCTGGCTGGCCTTGTGACTTAACCACTACGTGTAACATCATTTCCAAATACTGAGAAGTTACCAACACATTTTCTAACATGATGCTTGTTAGTTGAAAGATACTCAACTGAATAAGAGAATAGAACAATCCATGTTTAAGTCACCATTTATCCTTCCCACAGACCTGGCCTAGCAGTGTTATTTCCTGATATAACATTCTACACCCAGTCCTCACTTATGGACACAGTTAGGTTCCAAACACCAGGTCGTTACGCAAAAATCGGTATTATGCGAAAATAAAGGAAAATCACATCAGATCACAAAATAGAAAATGACTACATCATTACATTACGACCAAATTACATCACTGCATAACTGCCAAACCCCTGAGAATCAGGGCCCAGCCAAGCCGACACACAGCCTTAACTATCACAGCCACTGATACTCTCGCCTCGCACCTCGGCGTTCGTTACTGCCAGACGTACGTCGTCAATGAGCAAAACAGTCAGATAGTAGATTTTTTACTATTGTCATTAATGTAAAATGTCAGATAACAGGATAGTTAATAAGTGAGAAGTAGGTGTATTTACTCACATCAGAGTATCTGAGTACTGTAAGTGATATATATGCCACACAAATAATTAACTGAAGGTTGTATTATCTGGGGAGTCCCTGGGTAGTACAAACATTTAGCATACTCAGCTGCTAACTAAAAGGTTGAAGGTTCACGTCTACCCAGCCACGCCTAGGAAGAAAGGCCTGTAATCTACTTCCAAAAAACCAGCCATTGAAAATCCGATGCAGCACAGTTCTACTCTGACGCGCGTGAAGCTGCCATGAGTTGCAGTCAACTCGACAGCAACTGGTTTTTATTTTATTCGGACTGATCAACTACAGAACTTTAATGAAAATTAAACTTT